GTAATTTTAAGTTAATGTGATTTATATCTAATTAACCTCTTTCTAAGAATGTATATAAGTGTCATTAAGCACACACACAGCATATTAACTTGCCATTGTGTGCTGAATAGCTATTTATTTTCCTCTCCTTTCAATAATGCAACCAGGAGACAAGGTTTAATTAATTCCTAGCAATGAGAAAAAATTAATATTTAAAATTAGTCCATTAAAAGTTTGTCTTCTAATTTATAAGTTCTTGATTACTTTGAATGTTAGGCTACTAGTGAACTTAAGTCCCACTGTTAGGTAATTAGGATACCTTGTTTATATTTAACTCGATATTTAAGTTATTGTGTATATTTATGTGATCATTAGTAATTTAAATTACTGTAAACTGAATGGCAAATAAATAAATTAAATTATATTTACCAATGACATATATTGTAATGGTTCTACTCTGTAAGAGTTAAGCCATTCCAATATCCTACAACTTTTAGGGGTGTGACTTCTGTGGCTTCCTATAAAATTTCAAATGTCTAAAAATTCTCTTCTGCCCGTCCTTTTCTGATTTGTACTCTAAGTAGTGTTCCTTTTTGTTTTATTTTTTATAATAATATTTATAAATACATTTTTTTATACCCCTTGTTATTTACTCATTTAGATGCCTTATTTAAATTCTCATTACAAATTCTTTATCAATCCTTCTAATTCCCTCTGATGTATATCAATTTATCCCACTTTTACAATTTAAAACCTGACAATCTCTCAAACTTCCTATTCTTAAAACAAAATTAAATTTGCAAAAGCATATCCCCTTACCATCAAAGATCCACACCCCTAAGATTTTTTCGACATCAATGCTACAGGATGCAAAAAAAATATAATATCAACAATAAAATGACAATCAATAATGGTATCACATTCAGCATAGTAAAAAATAATTGTCTCCTATGTTGAGGCTGTGCATTCTGCTTTGCTGTTGTATTCTACAAGACTAAACTGATTTAAATACCCAATACATTAAGAGGGTTCTATTGGCGATTCAAATTAATTTTCGCGCGCCTGTCATTTGTCATCTATAAGTAGGATGTTTGTTTATTTACATGTTTTTGTTTTGGACGGATTTTGTATTTGTGATTTTTTTAACTGTTTTTAGATAATATTCTCATTGTAATAGTGTTTTTGAGTTTCATTTAGTGTTAATTTAAGTTTAAGTCTCGTGCTTTCGTCATAAATATAATATTTATCATGTGTATGACTTAATTTGTTGGAAATATTTACCTATTGGTTACTACAAGAACATCTAGAAATATGTATTCACTAAACCCAGGACATGTTGTATTATGTGGTTTAAAGGACATTTCAGGTACCACACGTTTATTATTGATGAACTTATTTAAAAATCTTACTAGACTTATTCTTATATTATGAAGTGAATCACGTAGTACTTTGTATACATGTAAATGGTAATAAAACCGTCAAAAAATAAGATTTCAGTTTGATTCTAAACAAAGTTTCGTAAAATTTCAATATTGTGAATTTGTAGATATCCATTTATCGTAAAAAACAAAATTTTACGACTTGTACTTGGAAAATAATGAATCTTCAGTTTTGATTTTGACATTAACACCATATAGATTGCAATTTTCTGGGGACTTCGTCACAGATTTCATTTTTAATATAAACACTATCACATGCTATAAGAAAAAAACAAATTTAAAGCTAAAAAGTAAAAAAAACTCTATTTGTAATTGATACAAATTAAAATGTAAACAATGAACATGAACGCCAATGTTGCCAAATGATGAACTGATTTTAAAACAAAATTAATAAATGAACTGAAATTTAAAAAAAATCAATATAATAAATCGGTTTTATAAAAAAATCCTTAAATAAATATAGATTATCATAACATACACAAATTTTGATTCTTAAATAAAAGGTTTTATCCACTTCTTCCAGAGCTAAAATCCGACGACGTAGCGAAGTTTTGCTACTTCTGGCAACACTGAACGATATCCTACTTATTCGGACCTTCTACAAATTTCCTCCAGAGGGCGTATCACTTAGCTTGAATCGCGAATACCCTTCAGCTCCGTCAATTTCATACATAACCTCGAAATTAGGGATGCGCGATACGATCCGATATTTCAGAGTATCGATACTTTTACGTCCGATACTCGATATTTTGGATCGATACTTTGCTTTACGATATGTTGCAAGTATCGATACATTTCTACTGTATCGATACCTTTACGATCAGGGGATTTTGGTTGGTGGCGGATCGGGGTGGCGTTATCTACTAGCAAAACGAAAAATTAAATACATTTACGCAACCGTTATTCATCGTTTGCAGTTTCTGTAAAAATGCATATACTTGATAAAATCGTATCGTTGTATGAAGATATCAACAGCGATCGTATTCTAATTTCTTATGAGCACAGTATCGTTCTATCCTCTGTCAGTCAGCTGTCAAGTGGGCTGAGTGAATCCCTGAAATATTTTCGTGTTATAAGTAGCTACTATTTTTTTATGTAGTTAGGAGTATCTAAAATAATTGGTTTGTTTTATCTTTTGATTATGATGTAAGCCGCACAATTGTGCTGTGTACTTTGTGCGTTATTTTATAGGTATTGATCTTGTACATAATTATTTTTAAAATGGTGAATAAATGTTTTAAATAAAACTGTCAAGCCCTAATAAAGTGGGAATAACTGAAATAACTACTAAAAATCTCGGATCGTTAAAGTATCGATACATCAACATTCGATATTTTACTGTATCGATACTTTACGTTCCGATCCGTATCGATACCTGATATCGATACTTTTAAGTGTATCGCGCATCCCTACTCGAAATCCGAGTCCCTTACGTCTTCGCCTTAATCCCCCCCCTTTAAAGAAATTGTTAGGCAGCCTGAAATACATTTCTGTGCATTTGTGGTTGCATAGTCTACCAATTCTCGAATAAAAAATCTAGACATAGCATTTTCGGCCGTTGATGACTGACAAAATTAGATTTCTATAATATATAACCGGTTTTTCTTTAATAAAGCTTTTCATAAAAAATAGTTTTATTCTGTTTATTACACCAATACGAAAAATAAAAATAATTTATAAAATTTATAATTTATCTACTTAGGAAGTAGAAAGTAAGTAAGTATACTTAAGTTGCCTATAAATATATAAATGTTATCTAGGAGGATTTCTGATTTTCATATTCCTAGTATACCTTGGATCCACGAGTTCTGGTAGCAGACATTTCCGGTAAAATATTAGCAGTTTTTCCAACATCTTTGTTTCCCAAAAGTTATTATCTTTATTAATCTGTAACAGAAGAACATCCAAATGAACATGTAAAAATTCAATAGAGACATATGTTGTTATACTTTACCTTCTGCATCATACCAAGTGGAGACGATACTATAAAATAGCAATGTTCATGTTGCGTTATATGCAGTTGCCCCTGAATGATAAAAATAATTGCTATTTTCTTTCAGAAAAAGACAATCATTTTCATTAAGGTTGCAAAAATTTATTATTTTATTCCCGAGGGGCCAACCACTGACCTTAATATGTACATGTACTGCAGAAATTTGTACTTGAATAAGGTACTGCAGAGCACTGCATATATACTGCATAGTACTGCATACGTACTGCATAGTACTGCATACGTACTGCATAGTACTGCACACGTACTGCATACGTATTACATAGTACTGCACACGTACTGCAGAGTTCTGCACGGAAAGAAAAAAATGTTTTAACTCTCTCTGTATATTTCATTTATTCGGTTCAAACATAAAATATTACTTGTTACTCTTTCTTAATGAATACATATGATTATGAACATGAACAACGGTCTTATTTGTTTCGTTATCTTCCAAATCTTCTGAGCTAGAATCTTTATAACTGACGTGGTCTTCAGATACATCAGTCTCATCCATCTCATCCGAAATTATCTTTTGCGGGATTACTTTCTTTGTCTTGCCAGCTAATTTACGTCTGTTTCTTTGCTTTCCTTTGCTACTTGTAGCTGCCATTCCTCTAACTCTATAAATTCGATCAGATGAGAGTTTATTTACATTATCAGAGTAGTACCAGCAAAGAGAAGACTTTCATCATTTGCACTGTATTTTTTATTGCAACGTTTAGATATGCTGTCTGGTTAAAACATTTTGATTTAATTTTTCCAAAATAATTTTTAAATTTAAATTCTTTGTCTTCTGATACCGTGAGCGGTACATCCATTTCATTCAGAAATTCTATATCCTTCTTTATTAAAGAATCTTCCTCTGTATCTGATATTTCTTGTCTTCCGATGTCATCTCGACAATCTATTTCATCATCGGTACTTTCGTTTTCTTCTTCTTTACGTAAATGTTTAATTATAACGGTTAAACAGGCCTTCTCTTTCCATTCAGCCTCATCGTCAGGTGTAGATTTGTTAGTGCCCACCATACCAATTTTTGTTGCTGAATCTATTGCATCTTCTTTGGCCTTTTTTAAAATCGCCAAAATTTCACTAACCGTTGGTAAAGGCAACTGATTATTTACGTCATTTGTTCCGAGCTTCTTGTTTTCTTCTCGAGGAAATCGAAAAGTTGTATCTATAAATAATGACAAGGGTAAATAAAGATAATGTACAATTTACCAGTTTATCCTCTAATTACTAACTTACCTAGATCTGTACTTATCTCATTTATTGCCTGTATTCTATTCAGTCTCTTCATAATATCTAGTAAAGAATAATTTACCATTGTAGAAAACGTGCTGGTCATTGAACGAGTTTGTCGAAAGATTTTTTCACAAGGTTGGCTACTGAATAACCAAGGAAGAAAAATATCCATTTCATTTTTTTCTCTGCATTTTTCTATAATAATCAACAGATTGTGCGCATTTAATTCAATGCATGTATATGTATTTAAAGTAATACAGTTATTTTGCATTCCATATTTTCTAAGTTTGATCCAGTATCGCCAGATTCTGAGAAAAAAAGTGGAATACCATATTTTGTACACCCTAGTACTGCCTAGTAGCTGAACTATCTGGAATATTATCCAATAAATCGATGACTCGCATATTAGATAACTTGTCGATAGCGTCGAAATTCATTTTGTCTTTACCTAAAACAAAATACAAATAGCTATAGAATATATTTCCTTCGAACAATTGTTGAGAAAATTGTTACCATTTAAATGACTGGGGCACAAAAAATGTTGGTCTTTGGAATATGTTTTTATTAGCTCCTCAATATGATTACGGGAAACCAATTGCTCGCCCATAGGTAGAGTAATATTATCTTTCAATAACCTGGTTTTTAATTTTGTACCAATATGGACAGTATCTTGAAAGCAAGTTGGTTGCGTTGTGTCAAATTTTGCCTAAAATATAAATTCGTTAAGAATTTTAGACAAATTCCTTTAAGACTGAAGTAAGTGTAATTGACCTATTAAAATTTATGTTACTCACCTGAAAATAAGGACTATACATGTTATTTCCAGAAATACTAGATAATCTATCTTCAAATACAGTTTCAGGTGACACGGTTGCATATACTGATTCATTAACATCGTCATCGTGATTGTTATTTAAATTGTCAGTAGCATTTTCGTCATGGTCCTCGATATTTTGGTTAATTGTAGACGATATGATGGTGTTTGTTGTTACACATTCTTGGGCTGGTAAACCCGAGGGTAAACCAGTAAATATCTTCATTGCTTTTAAACATCTGGTGTCACCGTCAGAAGAAAACCCCATGATTTCAATCCCTTGTTTCTTACTTTCAGCTATTAAATACTGCCAACGTTTAAGTACATCAGTATGTTGAAATACATTATCACTTCCGTAAATTGATAAACAAAAAGCGGGTGATTTATCCACCAATGGTTGTGCGGCGAAAACATAAGCATTATTGCAAATTGTCTCGTTCATAAATGCACGTGAAATATCATTAACAGAATTAACGTAAAATTTGTTAGTTAATGGAAACCCTTTCTTTTTACATAAAGGTAACAAGAATCCCACAAGTTTATTTAAATTTGAATTATAATTTACTCTCTTCAAAATAGCAGTTTGATCTTCACTCACAAAAATGGCCATAGGATAATTCCTTTTTGTAAGATAGTCTTTTAACTCTGTAAACCTAACAACTCCTTCTGAGATTTTTGGATGATTATCTAATGTTCTCATGAGTGTAGATATAGAAGGAAGTGATTGTGATAAGTTTGAATATAAAGTTTCGTAAAGCAATCGACCACCAATCATAAAAATATAAAGACCAAAGAGTTTTAGAGGTTCAGAGAATCTATACCTTTGTGCGTTGCATTGGCTATTATTTTCGGCGGTTTTTAGGAGTGCTTGTAATAATCCTATAGATGTAGTTGAATTATCTTTAATAGGAGTAGACTTTATTGAATCATTAAAACTTGCTCTAACTTGGGGGTTTTCATCTATTAATTTTTCCACTACATTTAAGATTTCATAGTAGTCTGTTAATTTAGTTTGATTTTGATTTGCACCAGCAGACATTAATATATTTTGAATGCGCAAACTTCTTTGGCTGTACTTTACTGCTTTCGGAGGCTCTAGTACACAAACTGGTGCAGCAGAACTATTGGCCTCATTTATAACTCTGCTGTATACAAAATCCTCAACCTCATCTAAATTATCTATTATAACGTGATTGTTTTCATCTCGGTTCCCATCTTGATTTTCATCCTCGTTTTCATCAGTCATATTTACTCTTTCTAGTGGTTGTAAACTTAATTCCTGTACCTCCTCTATCCGGTCTTCCATAACGTGAGTGTTTTCATCTTGATTTTGATCAGTCATCTTTATTCTTTCTGGGGGTTGTACACCTATTTCCAGTACCGCTTCTGGCTGGTCTAATATATAAACATTATTTACCTCTTGTGAAGAAATGTCTTCAGTCTGAGTAGGTTGTTGATTAATAAGGAAAGGTAATATACTAGAATTCTTCTGTAGTGTCGTTTTTTGCACTTGTTTTTGTTTAAGCGTAAGATGATTTTTTAAGTGTTTGTTAAAATTGGATAACACCCAATGAGTTCCATATTTACGTTTAGTATTAGTAATCCGTAGGAACATGGAACATAAAGGACATTTTATTTTCGCAGAGTTAGGATCAGCTTCACTGACATTGATTGTTATTTCCTTCGTACTTGACAATATAGATATACTTTCTTTATTATGATTTTGTAACCCTAAGTTAGATTCTTTTAATAAGTTTTTAATGTAATTTGTTATAAGGCCATTTAGATAATTGCTTATATTTTGTACAACTTTCGTTTCGGACGTCTCATTAGATTCTACTGTTAGCTTCGAGCTTTGATCTCTTTGTACCTTCTTTTTATTGCTTGATTTATTTGAACACATACATCCACACGAGCATTTGCGCTTAATTTTTGAACATTGCGTTTCAGTTAATTTAATTTTCTTTAATTTATTTATTGATAAGTGAACTAATTCTAAAATCAGTTTTTTATGACCTTCACGAATTTTGAACATTTCTGGTTTACTTGCGTATATACCATAAACAATTTTAACTTCCTGGTTATCTAATAAATTGGGCAAGTCTTCCCGAGCAAATCGTTCTAGCTCTAACATAGACGATTCATTAAAAGCTGCTATTGAATGAATATTATCAAAACCTGTATAGAGAAACAAAGTTTTTAAGTAATCTGGGAATATAAAATCTTCAAACTCTTTAACTTCGTCTATAATTTTTCCAATTTTATCTCTTTCAATGGCGTCAGATACAGATTCAGCCATTTTGCTAAAACAACAATACCAACAATTTATTACATTGCTTTTCTTTTTGTGTATTTCATAAAACTACTTTGCAACTTTTCACTTTGGACGTAGCTTATTTTAGTAAATTTATGTTTCATAAAAGGGAAACTTAACGATTTAGGAAGTAAAATTTGAAAAGCAATTTGCAAAGTGAAAATGAAAAATTTATAATCTGCAAAGATAACGACATTATTTTAAAAAACACAAGTATTTTGCATTCGTAAATTTGCAAAGTCCAAAGTGAAAAGTTGCAAAGTAGTTTTATGAAATAGGACCCAGATCTTGCTTTATTTCCTAACATGGACTCATAACATGCTTCTAATATCTCAGTTTTATTATAACTGGCGGGTCCCAACTCTATATTTTTTAATTTATGACCTTGTTAAAAAATATCGCGCGGGAATCACCAACGTAAACGTAAACATTATGTTCGAGTGCTTTGGACATCTTTTATTTTGTAAACTTTGCTATCGCTTACAGTTATTTTTATTATTATTGTTTTTTGTCTAGGATAACAGTAGTCAGCAGATATAGATAGCAGGTTATTTGACCATTAATCTTTCAAAGCCAACATATTTGCATGCTTTTATTTTATTTATTTTTTCTAAAATTTAAACTTACCTTGTGATGGATTACAATCGTCAAGAGTATATAGAAGATAGAATTCGAATCAAAAGAATACTCAAAATAATTAGAATTCAGAAAGGAATGTTTTAATCACAGTCACTAACTAAAACTCACTCCCTCACACGAAACGAATAAAACAAAGAGGTTAGAAATAATGTAGAGTTGGATGCTGTACTTATTAACTGTACCTAAATAAAATTGGAAATAACGTGTACTGCAGAATACTGCAGAGTATTGCATACGTACTGCATGATACTGCATACGTACTGCATAGTACTGCATACGTACTGCATAGTACTGCATACGTACTGCATAATACTGCATATATACTGCATGATACTGCATATGTACTACATAGTACTGCCTAATACTGCACACACGTACTGCAGAAAAAGCCTACAGTACTGCATAGAGTGGTTGACCCCTCGTTTATTCCTAATGGCATCCTTAGGGTGTATTTGTGATGAAACCTTTGGGCATTTGATCTCAATAATGCCATCACATCCGATAATGCCATCTGGACTGGCAGCAAACATACAATGTTCTACATCAACAAATAATCCACATGCAGTGACTTTAAAAAATTCATTTTCGAATTGTTTTTTTGCTAGTGGTTCATGTTCTAAACCATATTTTGTTGAATCGTTTCCTCTAAAAGTTGAATACAACAAATTTTTAACTTTGGCCTCGCACACTTCTCGCTTGGTGCCATTCCGGATTAAAACTTTGTCCTCTCGTTTTCATTTCTAATTCTTGGATCTCCTTCTGGGTAAGCTGAAGGTGTTTCACAAATTCTGCCTCTTTCAGTAAATACTGTTCCTCGGGGAAATCTGGATCTCCTTGAGCATCTGGTCCATAATCTTTGTCTGCTGCAGCAACAATTTTCTTCTTTTTTATGGGCTTATTTAACCGTAACAGACGTTTCCTTTTAGTTATGTTCGTCAATCTTTTCAAAAGTGGAGGTAGCTCGCCATGACCAAATATTTCATCATAGATTGGTACTAAATAGTCTCCCTGGGTATTAAAAGAAACTGCAGCTGCTTCACATCGAGTTAAGTCTTCTACCCGAAAAGTTTATTCGTTTTCTAGCTACAAATTTACAAACAATGGAATTGTATTGTTCAGCGATATTGGTGTCCATGTTTAGAATTAAACTCTGTGAATTATATATCAGTATGTTGAAGCAAACTTCAATGTCAGCTAAAAATCCACATTCTTCCATCGCAGGAACATAATTTGTTTCGTGTTCATTTTTAATACATTTAAAATACTTTAAGTGTGAGCATAATTTATGCTCACCAAAAACGTGAGACACGACATTTCCAAGATCTTGCTTCAAATTATTGACTTTTTTTGAAAAATCAATATCTTCTTTGGCGCGGTGTAAAATTGCATAATTTATTGCAGTCCTCAAACGAGGGGCATTTTTCTCCACTACTTTTCTTAGAGATAATGAAACAGGTAAATTTTTTGAATTACTTCTCTTTCGACCTATAAATCAAAAGAGACAACTATAATAGTCGATCTCTGACAATAACAATTGAAATAAATAAATGTTCTTACCACAAGCATCCTTAATTTTCTTTGAAAAATTTCTTAGCAGGTGATTTATGCACTCGATTTTTTCTACGAGAAGATTTCCATAAGGTTTATTTTCCATTATTTTATTATATACACTGCTATCCCCATCTCCAACAAGCCGTTTAAATATAATTCCGTGCATTTCTAAACTCTTTTTAAAACCATCTACGTTGATGTCACTTTCCATGCTTGTTGAAGTCCAATTTTTATAGCACATATGGTCCGGCATATCTAACTGTTTAGATTCTGCTCTCGAACAAATACAACAATATCTATTTCTAACTCCAAGAAAAAGTATCTTTCTTGTTCTTGCACCAATGATACAGGCCTAAAGGATAATATATTTTAAAAAAATTTAACATTTTGAAATAATAATACTTACTACACCAGAATTAGCATTATACTGTACTGAATATGAACGTTTACACTAAGCACCATCAGCTATTACCGTTATAAGCGGTTGTAACAACCAGTTTGCCTAAAGACCAACGCTCGTCACCAAATGTAACAACCAGTTTGTCTAAAGACCACTTACAACTACTGATAGGTCTTTAGCTACTGTTACTATACTATTAAGGGATAAAGGCAGCGCTTGTCACCAGCCCTAGGGTCCTGGAGTCCTGAAGGAACATCCATTCGCCAGTGGCAAAATAAAATAATAAAAGAAAATAATAAAAATACAAAAAAAAAACATCCCTTAATAGCATATGTCGAGCGGTTTTGGCAACTGACTTAAGACTCTCAAGTCCTTAAGGGTAGGAACGCCGAGGCTTAACATGCTCGGAATATTTCTTACTGGTTTTTGGAAAGAGGTGAGAATAAAATAGGTTAATAAACAATAACACGTATATTTAAATATAAGTAAAAAATGAATAACAAATTTCAATAAATCAAAACAATCTCTATTTTTGAAATAAGACATAGCAAAAATTACTACCCACAATCGTAAATCTTTATTATGATAAACCATGCTAATATAATATAATCTATGATGAAACTTTGATATAAAGAAACCTTTTACATCACAAAAACATTTTAATATAAAAAACTCTTTATATGATAAAACCCTTAAAACTGATAAACATTTAATAAGTAAACTTGGGACGAAAATGAAAGAATTGGCATTTGAAGAAGACTAATGAACTGTTTTAAAATCCATAACCCAAACAAGAGATTTAACCATGTTAAAATAAAATAGATATTACCTTTGAAACTAAAACACTACACACACACTTTACTATATATAATAAATACTAATAATTACTAAGTTACATTTTTGGGCATAGGTTTGGCCCAACGGCCGCCCCTTGAGTCTCTTTGTGTCAACGATTGACTCTCTATTTATATCAACCTTAACGTGATTATTTTAAAAAGAAACTCTACTTATTTATTTTTAATGATTATTCGCACGATTTGTCCTTTAATTTTCTAGTACAATGAACTATTTCTAATTGTTTGGTTTTAATAAATATGTTGTGTTAATTTAATAGATATTAAAAATATTAGATATTTTTGGGATTTTTGTTAAATTCTTTATATTTTAAAAATAATAATGCCAATTATTACAGGTATACCATTCTTGTTGACTTCACCTAAATTTTTAGCAATCTCTGCGTCTTCCTTTCCAGCTGACTCGATCGTCTGCCATGTCACAGTATGAATAATATTTGCAACTTTGTTTTCATATTTATAAAATGTATTTGGAGCCATAAAAGGTATATTCATCGACGTAAATAATGTTTCACTTCCAGAATACCCAGAACCACTTGATAGTGTACCCAAAACCATTTCTGCATTAATGTTGACATTGCTATTACCTTTTGCACAAATCTATGTTTTTTAAAATACCACACATTTTGCATCTGAATGAAATGGTGCTATTCAATCCTTGGCGCTGTTCTTTAATTGGGTACATACATAGAAATAATATAGAAGACCAATATAAACATAACATTTAAGCAGAAATTGAAACCTACTGTGCATAAAAACGCGTGTCTGCGCCTGACATCGCAAAATAGTGTGTCTAGAAGCTTGCGCAATAAGCATGACTTGTCCCTGTAGTGTTGCCAAATATATTAAACATACCTAACAGAAAATAATTTTAAATTAATTAATTTTTAAATTATATGATTTAAACAGTTTATATCTACGAAATATCGCCACAAAATAATTTATAAACATTTAAATAATCAACTAATAATATTTATGTGTAATTACATTCCCAAAAATATATACAAATACCGTATTAATGTCATTAATACCGTATTTTTAATGTTCAATAAGCGATTTACCTACTAATTCAATATTGACCTGGCAATAGCACTAAAATCCGGTGTTTCAAGGCTATATGACGCTGCCCTTACAGGACCGTTTGTAGTTTATTATTTATGCCGCGTTTGAGAATCCACATCGGATGCATCTGAGAAGTAGTAAGTAGTAAATCTTTGATCACGTGATTCAGTATACGTAAATGTAATGGGACAGATGTGTCCGATGTGGATAAAAAACGCTCGAGATGTAAAAAATGCATCCGATGTGGATTCTCAAACGCGGCATTAATTACACGATGAAAGTGGTATTTTATTTTTAGTTTTGTGTAGTGTTTAGTCAAATCCTAGGTACAATAAAGGACATTTTTACATTGGCTAATGAAAATGTAATCAATGTATTAGGCAGCTGTTATATTTATTACAAGATTTATGTCTGCAAATCTAAACCTACCTAAGAATTATAATTATGTAAATAGAGATCTGTATATTTATATACAGGCT